TAGAAATACACACACTATACACATTTAACATATTTTTTAAAAGATAAAATAATGTAATGTGTGGTTTTATGTATATAAACATGGTAACTGCATAGAAACTTGTATGGGGATTCAAGTTCAGTTCAGTGACTACATCTAGGGAGGGAGAGGGAATGAGATTGGAGAGAAAGGCTAGCTGGTTAGCTAAGTTGGTTAGAGCATGGTGTCGATAACATCAATGTCCAGGGTTTGATCCCTGTATCATCCAGATGCCCAAATAAATAAATAAATTAAATTAAATTAAAAATTAAAAAATTTTTAGAATGAAATCAAGTTTTTTTAAAAAAGGGCTGGCTGATTATCTCAGTTGGGTAGAGCACTGTGTTGTAACACCAAGGTCTAGGGTGCAGATCCCTTTACTGGGCATCTGAAAAAAAAAAAAAAAAAAAAAAAGAGGGGACATCCATTATATGTATGCTCTTTTTATGTTTTAAATAGGTGATGGCTATATGGATGGGCATTATACTAACTTTTATGCTTTTCTGGATGCCTGGAATATATAATAATAATAATAAACACACAGAGACTCAGAAACATTGAAGTAGTCTAGAGAGAAGACAACAATGGCAGTTGTGTTAACACACAGAAAAAAGTTCGTTTCTCTTGCCTCCACTTTACAAAACCTTGAGGAAAGAAATAAGTTTTGCAATAACATCAAGCCCTGTTAGAGAAACACAGCAGAATTAGAGAAGGCTTATAAGATATTTCATACCAGTTGGGTCATGTGGTAGGCATGCATTTAACATTGTAAATAACTGCTAAACTATTTTCCAATGTGGTGGTACCATATTACATTCTGTCCTGCAGCAGGAGGATTTCAGTTATTCTACATCCTTGCCAATCTTTTTAAGTTTAGCCATACTAATGGGTGAATTAAAATTTTATGATATTTTTTAATGATATCCAATTTCCTATAGACAAAAACTTCTGCTGTCTACTGAACATGAATATCCAGTCCTTTTGATAGTTACAGTGGACCTTCTTGTTTACTAACAATATCTGGAAACTGCACTGTAGCCTGTGAGAGAGAAGTAGCATGTGCGGGGTACTTGCCATGTGTCAGACATGTTATATTCTTCACTGCGCTTAATCTTCCTAGTAGATATTCGTAATCATACTTTACAGATGAGAACCTGAGGCTGACGAATTAAAGGAGCATGGCTAGGAAATGGGAAAAACCAAGATTTGTGTGTGATATATCTCCTGTGTCTGATCTGTACCACATGTGACTTTTATCTGAACTGGTTCCCCATTTCGACTGCCATGAACAGCTTGGAAAGCATATCATCCTTGAAGGAAGCCTGTTACTATAAAGTCAGTGATTCCCAAAATGTGAAACATTACCATGATGGTAAACAAAGTGACTTTAGGTTCACTATTTTTAAATATTTGAGATTTATTTATTTTATTGTTTATCAGAAAAACTCATAACTGACATCATATGGATGTTTCTCTATCCTCTTTAGTCTCATTCTTTGCAATGATATCCATGAAATAAAAGATTTGACATGCTAGTTATATGTTACTCCAATACATGTTATACACCAAAACTATTCTATATTTGGGGAAACTAATTTTCAAATCTGGCCAATGAGACAGCTAGCATTGGAAGATAACATTCTGGCCATTTTACATGTTTTACATGGTGATGGTCTTGTATACAGTACAACAAGCAAAACAAGCTAGAAATGTCTAAAATAATTGTCCATCTACATGGTCTTATACAGGAAACTCTTGCCTTCAAAAATAAGTCTTAGGTGTGCCTCACGCCTAAATTGTCACAAATAGGAATTAATTTCTTTAGCTTAGAGTATCTCTCTCTTTGTCAAAATGCAAAAATTTTGGGCTTTGGTAACACCTCAAAATAGCTAAGACTAGTCTACTAGTGGTCAGAATCTCTGTGCTGGTACTCTTTCCAAAATATATCCAGATGTTAATATCTTCGTGGCTAGAAACAGGGCTAATTTTTAAAAATTTAATTCCTTTTTTGTAAAGTAGATAATCTCAGTTGTAAGCACAGTTGTGTGTTGCTTAACGACGAAGATATGTTCTAAGAAATGTGTCACTAGGCAATTTCATCACTGCAAACACCATGAAGTGCATTTACACAAACCTAGATGGCATGGCCTACTGCACCACCTCGGCTATTGCTCCAATCACTGTCGTATATTTGGTCCATTGTTGACTGAAACTTTTCTATCCTTCCCCCTCAACCAAACTCCATAAAGTTTGGTTACAAAGTGTCTTAGTCCCTTTTGTGTTGCTGTAACAGAATACCTGAGACTGGGTAATTTAAACACAGAAATATATTTCCTCACAGTTCTGGAGGTTGGGAAATCCAAGATCAAGGTGCCAGCATCTGGTGAGAGCAGACCTTCACATCAGAAGGTGCTGGACCTCACGACGCAGAAGTCGAAGGGGCAAGAGAGAGAACCCACTCCTATAAGCCTTTTTTTATGAGGGTATTAATCCATTCACCTAAATACCTCCTGTTAGGCCCCATCTCCCAGTACTGTTGCATTGGGGATTAAATTTCCAACCGATGAACAGAAGTCGAAGGGGCAAGAGAGAGAACCCACTCCTATAAGCCTTTTTTTATGAGGGTATTAATCCATTCACCTAAACACCTCCTGTTAGGCCCCATCTCCCAGTACTGTTGCATTGGGGATTAAATTTCCAACCGATGAATTTTGGGGGACACATTCAAACCATAGCATACAGGAAGTGTTTTTGTTATTCTTTAAAATGTAGTCTGTTCAGAATATTGAGATTCTGGGTGTCCTTATAAAAAAGGCTGTTGGTGTAGGTTTCTTGTTTTCTGCCATGTGAGGACACAGCATTCCTCCCCTCCAGAAGACTCAGGGTTCAAGCACTATCTTGGAAGCAGAGAGGTTGGGCCCTAACATTCTGGTGCCTTAATCTTGGACTTCCCAGCCTCTAGAATTATGAGAAATGAATTTCTGTTCTTTATAGAGGACCCAGTCTCAGGTGCATAGAGCACAAAAGAGACTAAGACAAGGGATTACCTTGGGTGGCAGAAGTCAGAAGGAAGAGAGTCAATAGGCAAAGCTCTTGCAACTCCCTTGAGCCACAGTGACTCTTTTTTAGTTATTTTATATATTGGAATTCTACCTAAAATGTTAATTGCATAATGGGTTCCAGCTGTTGAGAAAAAAGAAGAAATTATTTGAACTAAAAGGTGTGTGCATCTGAATCAATCACATGAAGAGCAGGACTCACCCTCCATTCATTCTGACTTCAGTAGGGCTGGATTTAAACCTAGGAATCTGCATTTTAGCCAGTCCGCAGATGAACCTGCTGAGGCTAACAAAAAGGCAGATAAAACACTTTCAGAAATACCAGGATGTGGGCCGGCCTGGTGGCGCACTGCTATAGTGCACCACTTGGGAAGTGCGGTGGCGCTCCCGCCCGAGGGTTCGGATCCCACATACAGACCGGTTCCCGCTCACTGGCTGAGCGAGGCGCGGGAGCAAACACGGAAAAAGACAAAAAAAAAAAAAAAAAGAAAGAAAAAAAAAGAAATACCAGGATGTACAGTAATAAATTAGCATATAATTGTCTAACAAGAACAGCAGATATTTACAAATAACGATTTCATTTCCAGAAACAAATGAATTCAGTTCATACTAATAAGTCATGGGGCATTTTTAGGAGGAGGAATAGACTAATATAATGCTATGAGTGATAATCACAACTTGTAGAACATGGAAAAACACTGCTCCATTTTGCCCTTATGTAAACAGAGATAATTCTGCAAAGCTAAATCAGATGAGTAAATATTCATGTGTGCAAAATCTGGACTTGGCTCTAGTGAGAACTCAGCTGGACTCAGTAATAATTATGAAACTATGAAGAAGAAATTTCAATATACAAGATAAACTAGTGTGATTTATAAAAATTCTATTGTACCTAAAGAATAGGACAAACATTGCAATTTGGGGGATTGGAGTTAATTGTAATTTTTGTGACTTTTTTTCTTGATTATGAAAGTAGTATATGTGAACTACAGGTAATTAAGAAATTACAGAAAAGTTAAAAAAAAGAAAAGCAAATTACCCTAGTCTTACAAAACAACAATGGCTGCTATAAATATGTTGCTATGTATTCTTCTCAAATTATGTCCATATATTTAAAATAAAATTCAGGATATATCTTCCTTTTTAATCTAATTATTCAAAGTGTCAAGTTACAAAACAATTTTGTAAAAATATATTTCATGGAAAAATTGAAAAATAGCATAATGTATATTATATGAGGGAAGGATTCAAAAATTAAACCATAGTATACTTATATGCAATTTTTGTATGTATGCTATATTTCAATAATGTTTTATTTTTTTAAATCACCTTATATTAACTTGATATTTTTTTTAAAAAAAGAACTTAAAGCTAAGATTTTTAAAAGACCTTTACCTTGGCCTATAGCACTAACTTTCCAAAAAACAAAATTAGGAATTATTAAATTTTCAGATTGTAAAAGAGACCCATTATTTCTCTTTACCACCAGAAGAATATGATCCTTCAATTGTTGGCAAGCCTCTCATGGAAAATTATCAGGGCTGCACAATTAGATAGTGTCAGTGGAAGTCATGAAAGAGAAAAGAGAATGTTGAACACTGACAGCACTGTGCTCACTCCAGAAAATGGAAAGAATGCTTCTCTTCATCTACATTATTTTCTTTGACTTCCTAGTTGCATCTGGGATGAAAGGGAACTATTTATAACACAAAGATTATTTGTGCCGTTTTATCAAGTTAATATACAGCAAGGGCAATGCATTTTGGTTCTTACCCTACCCATAATTTGGAATGGTCTACTTAGTATATAGTTACAGCCTTTAAGAAGAAAAAGGTGTCTGCTGTTAAATTAGAACTAATTGGGGTATAAAAGCTTGTCTGTTATAAAACACTGATAAGAATTATGTTAGAGCAATAATGTTTATTACCGTAATGTGTACACAGCATTGTGATTAACTGAGGAATTATGCTGAAGCTCAGTGTGTCATTTATTTTTGTAGCTCTCTTGTGCCAAAAGAGACAGATATAACACTCTCTTTATGCCACAGATAAAGGAGATGTTGAAAATGACCAGCATGCAAAGCAGAGCCTGAAGTTAAAACCAGGTATCGTTAATTCCTGATTAATATTCTAGTTTTTACTTGAAATATTCCACTTCTGTATTCTTCAAAGACTTTGGAGAAATATCTGCAATTGGGAAGAAGGAAATGATATTAAGAATTCTTATATGCATGATTGTATGTTTCATTTTTATTTGTAACAAAATTCCCTAAGACAGGAGCAACGCTGAGCATGGAAAAATGGCAGGTATAACTCATGATCACACAAGTTGTGATCAGTATGATTGAGGGCTGACAACTAGAGTTAAGGATCATTGGTTGAACTGCTGTTGGTCTGATCCCAATCCTTCTGCAGTGGAACTTGGAGGTCAAACACTTAGTACAGACATTAGAATGACTAAGATAAACTAGTGGTTTGATCATTCAGTAAAGTTATCAGAAAGTAGAGAACACTCTCTGGGCCTGCTGAGCATTCCTTTACTCCAGATATCAAAGCCTGAGAAGAAGAATAAAGAATGAATGAAGACACTGGTATAGAAAGTCATTATGAAGATTCAAAGGAATGAAATAAATGGATTCAGTCTCTCCCACATGTGACAATACAGCATCCTTCCTTAAGCATTTGACATAATCTTCAATCACTAGCATCTTTGTGGGTGAGAGTGCTAATTAAAGCTGAAGTTGAGTTTTTTATGCCTGGTGTGACCCTGGGCTTCTCAGAGGATATCAAATTTTTGACGTACAGTAGTGACATATCTTTCAAGGGGGGTGGTTTGTACGTACATAATGTAGGTAAAAAATACATTGAGTCAAAAAGTGCCCTTAGAAAATCTCCATATAGGAGCCTAATATAACATGTTTGAAAACAGTCAATATAGCCAAATTTTTCTTCCCTGTTTGAAACATATTGTTTTTTTTTTTTTTTTTTTTCCTGATTGAACATGACATTAGGTAGGTAGCTTGCGTCTGGGACATGTGGCATTTTAAAAAAAAAGTATCTTTAAAGCCTAAAATCATACTCCCTATACAGAAATGTTCTTTACTGTAAAAACAAAATTTTATGCAGTTTCTCATACTCACTCAGATGCATGTGCTCATTGAGTAGAATGGCAATCAGAAGAACCTGCAGTATTTCGATTGTTCATTCATTTATTCTCTAATCTTGATTTCTATTTCTCTGACCCTCCCTTTCCTCCACCCCCTCCTTCAGCAGAGCACAGACTTGTGAATTTTCAAATATCAAATATCCCCTTGATGTGACTCCACTGTATCACTCAAGACAGACATCGCCAATCACTCACAACACAATTTTCCTCCCATCAGGCCCAGACTGAATCTCAGAGCCTTCTTAACACAACACTCCAGGAAGCTGCTACCAGTTGACCAGTGCAGACCTTCTGACATGCTATATATTTTTTTCACCACTTAGAATCCTCTGTTATTTTTGAGCTTCATTTCCCTATATGACTAAAAACTAAATTAGATGAAATGCTCTGTAGAACTTACTCTGAAATTCTGTGATTTTATGATCCTTTGGAATACAGCGGAGGTTGGCAAATTAAGGCCCGCTGATCGAATCCACCAAACACCAGTACAGTCCAGGAGCTAAAATGGGTTATATGTTTTTAAATTATTGGAAAAACTCAAAGAAGAATACTTTTTTGTACCATATAAAAATTTTATAAAATTAAAATTTCAATGTCCATAAATAAAGCTTTATTACAAAACAGTCATGCTCGTTTGTTTACATATTGTCTGGGGCTGCTTTTCCACTGTAATGGCAGAATGCAGTAGTTGCATCAGACACCATATGCCCCACAAAGCCTAAGCTATTTGCTGATTGATCCTTGACAGAAGATTGGACTAGAGTGTGGTGAGAAGATGGTGGGTTGCATGCCAGGTCAAAAGAACTGGTGTCTAGTGCAGAGGGGCAGATGATTGTGAGGTGAAAGCAAATGGGAGAACATGTATACTTGTCAAAAAGTGACCCAATAGTTCACTTTTAAAAAATGAATTTTGTTATAAAATCTTTATTGTTTCTATTATTTTGCTATAAAATTTGTTTGTAAGAAAGCAGTGTGGGCCGGCCCGGTGGCGCACTGGAGAGTGCGCCGCTTGGGAGCGCGGCGGCGCTCCCGCCGAGGGTTCGGATCCCA